AGCCTGTTTTCATAGGAGAGGTGCTTCATCTCTCAGAGCACCTCAAGGCCTCCTCTGGACTCTCTCAAGCAGATCCATGTCCCTCTTTGTGCTGGGGGCCCCAGAGCTGAACACAGTACTCCATGAGACTGAAGACCAGGAGAGGTCTCACAAGAGTGAAGTAGAGAGGGAGAATCCTCTCCCTTGACCTGTTGGTCACACTCCTTTTGATGCAACCCAGTTGGCTTCTGGGCTGCGAGCACGCACTCATGTTGAGCTTGTCAACCAACACCCCCAGCTCCTCCTCAAGACTGCTCTCAGTCCATTCTCCGCTTAGCCTGTGTTTGTGCTTCAGATTGCCCTGACCCATTTATTTTAAAACATTTTTTTATACTTTATTAAGGTATTGCAGTGTTTGTTAGAACTCTTCTAACAAGGTGTCACCCCCCAACTGTAGTATCATGGGGAAATAAGCATGGGTTTGAGTAGCTGAAAAACACTTGACTTGCCTCCAGAGAACTTGTCCATTCCTGAATGTGTACTCAGAGACAGCTTTTATCTGTCATCTCTCAAGAATTGCTGTTTGTTCTGTTTGAGAGGACACTTTAAGAAGGGAGCACTATATGAAGAAAGACCAAGCTAGTATTCTTTGATTTCAAATTAATGTTTCTACCAAGGAAAGGAAATAATATGCTCCGCAGTGTTATTGATTGCCTATGAATTCTAGTTCTGTTACTAAGAATGTCATCACTTTTTATGTATTGACAGAGCATTGAGTGGCCTATGAAATTTCCTCAGGCATTTGCTAGGATGGGCCTGTCTCATCCAAAGGGTATTCTTCTCTATGGGCCATCAGGGTGTGCCAAAACCACATTGGTGAAGGCTCTGGCCACAAGTTGTCACTGTTCCTTTCTCTCTGTAAGTGGTGCTGACCTCTTCTCACCTTACGTTGGAGATTCAGAGAAGATTTTGTCTCAGGTACAATTTTTTTATTTGTATAAGGCCTGTAGGTTATTTTTCGCTTGATTTTTTTTGTGATGGTCTGAATTTTGTTACTGAAAAGATGATAGTTAAAGCTCTCATCTGATTATTAAATAAAATAGCTTTCAGATTCAGATGTTTGTAAACTGAGAATCTAGCCCTAAAATTATGCAAGTTTTAAACTTCGAATGTATTTCTACCCTTTTGTTTTCAGTTCATTTAAGAATCTAAGTAAGACCCTCCCTATTGTAAATGTAACCCAGAACAGCCCCTGTGAATCTTTGAGTGTATCTTTAAAGTTAAGTGAAATATAGAGTATGTGTAAATAGGTGTTTTCTCCTTACCTGACAGAACGTATGCACTGGTGTTTATTAATATTTTTTAAAAAGGTTTTTCGCCAAGCAAGAGCAAATGCTCCAGCAGTAATATTCCTAGATGAGATTGACTCTATCTTGGGATCTCGGTCACACTGCAAAACTAGCCATGGTGTCTCAGAGCGGATTCTTTCTGTTCTTCTCAATGAGTTGGATGGTATTGGGCTGAAAGTCACAGAAAGAAGAGGAAGAAAACTGCAGCTTGAGGGTCAATGTCAAGAACAAAGTGAAGAGGAAAGAAAGGTATTTATGTTCCCTTTTCCATATAGGAAGGATGATAAATGCTGTCCAGTTGTTTCAAAAATTTTAGCTGTTGAATCATATTTTTTTCGCCTTAAACCTCAAGGTTAAAAATATTCAAGATGCTCTTTTATTCTGTCATAACTTCTAAAACATACTGTATATAGACTGCTGACTTTTTACATACACTGTTTTTCAATGAGACTTTGCATAAAATACACAGGCTAAAGGGCATTACTAGTTGGTCTTCATCTTCTATCAAAATCCTCTTGATTGACAGTAAGGTAATTTTTTAGATTGTGTTATTTTTACTATTACACAGGTTCCTTCCTGGACTTACTTTTTACCCCTACTTTATTTGCAGTGCTTTCTCATATAGTTTATACAACAGCAATACATAAATTTCCTTGTCACTTAATCTGTTATGCACCAAGGCAAATTTTTACCTGAAGAAAAATAAAATACTAATATTGAAAGGAAAGTAACTACATGTAAAGATACATCATCTTTTTGTGCTTCCCCTTTCCTCATTAGTAGCTAGATACTACCTAAAGATAACTAGTATCTTAACCATTTTGCACTAATGTGTTTATATAATCTCTTAGCTAGAGTTTCATGAAAGTTTGAACAAGGATTTCATGGTAGTTGCTGCAACAAATAGACCAGATATGTTGGATGATGCCTTACTGCGTCCTGGAAGGCTAGACAAGGTCATCTATATTCCACCTCCGGATCTGAAGGTGATGTATTGCAAAGCCATACTTGGATTTAAAAGGGGAAGTATTGATTGCCAGCACACTGTCAGAGCAAATGGGGACATATTCCTGTAATAAGTGTATTTAACAACTGATGGATGATTCACTAAACTTCAGGTACAATGAAGAATGTTAAAGAGGAATAATTGCATTTATGATTTAATCACCAGTAATATTTGACCTGGTGTATGTAGCTATACTATCACATATAGAAAACAGACAAAATCTGGTAGAATTCTATATTTACAAAATCAAGCTGCAGTTTATAAAGTACCATAACAAGTTGTCTGTCCTTGCTTCAAATCATTCTTTTGCCCTGTTCCCAAAAGTAGTGTAGCTACTTGTTGTGAGCTTCCAAAAAAAACAAATGTTGAGCCAAAGCAGACCAAATATGGACTCCTTCGTCTAGAATACTGTGTATTCATGAAGTACTGGATAATTGCGAATAACAGACTTTAATATGTGAGATAATATTCTTATGGTTATAGTTACCTCTATTAATAGCATTTTATTCACTCTTCCACCAAAACTGAAGTAGTTTTGGTACTCTTCTCAATTTTCATTAGCTCTAATTTCTAATTTGGTACTGCTTTGGAGAGCAATTAATTCTTGGTTTGGTTTTGTTGTATAAAATGCACCATCCTACAGGGAAGGCTTTCCATTTTGAAAATCTGCACAGAAAAAATTCCGTTAGATACTGATGTGTCGTTACAAGATGTGGCAGTTCTGACAGACCTCTTCTCTGGAGCTGATATTGAAAATCTGTGCAAGGAGGTAAGAAATATTCATGGTTGAATGAATCTATTGACATAAACTGTAAATTAAACACTTTAATGAAAAAAGAGCTAGCTCATAGATGTTACCAAGCCTTCTGTATATGGATTCTTTCACAGTTCGTAATGAAAATACAGAGAGAAGGGATAAAGCTGAAGTACCTAATAAGGGTTAATTCTTTAAATAAAAAGCCAAATAAGAATAAAGGCTTTCTGTCACAATTTACTCGAAGTTAAGGACCTGTACTACCCTTTGTGTCACATGGCCCATTGTAATCCAGACTCGCATCTAGATGAATTGTCATCTGTGTACTGCAAGTAACTTTAGCATTTTTAACTGAAATTAGTACATGCTGTCAAGGCTAGAGAGAAAAAAAAAAAGAGAAGGTAAATCTTACAAGTATTTGAGATGAGTTGCATAAAAAACAAAAGACTGGGAGGAAAATCCAGCAACTTAAGTTATCAAAGATATTGTTTAATCCAGACAAAAAAAGTGAATGAAAGAGTTTGCAGTATTTGATGTTGTATCTATTGTTCAGTAACCATAAACTATATGATACTGCTTTTAGATGCTTTACCTGAAATTTTGCTTGATGTAAAATATTTTAGACTACTTACAGTAATTTCTTTGACAGTTAAAACATGATAAGCATTTTAAATTGTTCCTTTTTTTTTCTTTTAAAGGCTGCTTTGTTGGCATTGCAAGAGAGTGGACTTGAAGTGACTGCTGTAAAACACAAGCATTTTGTAAAATCATTGAGGACTGTAAAACCATCCTTAAACAAGAAAGACTTGGAATTTTATGAAAATATCTATACTCGAGAATTAGCCTCCTGAAACAAAAAGGAGTGATTGTAGCATAGGTATTCTTAAATACATCACAAAAATTTTGCAATGGCTTACATCTTTTCTGCTTTTTAATACTGTGCGCTTTTTTTTATACTGTAGTTTTCAGTGTGTAAAATTTCACTTGAAAAAAATCTGTGATTTTGGTAATGGAGAATAAATGAAAATCTTGTTTCCTTTGGCTAGGTTTCCACCTAGAAACAAGTAATTGAGATTATTAGATAAAGCACTGTGGAACAGCTTACTGCTACTGTAGATTTCCTAATTCTCAGTACAAACACTGGTATAATATTTAATTTAAAATATGTTGTGAAGTTCCTAAGGGAGAATGAGAAAAGCTTTCTGACTGTTAAATAGGAAGAAGTAAGTCCCATACTGTGGAAATTGTCAGGTGTTTTATATGTGCATATCTACAGACTTGCTTTCTGACAAGCAGATTCCAAAACACAGTGATGGTGAAAAGGCTGTCAGTGCTTAATACCTTGTTGTAGGTTTAGAGTCTGGGTTTTAGCTGGTTTACAGGAGTTGTCTGCAGGCACCACGCACCTCCAGCCTGCCCCTGGCGGGAGTTCTCAGCCAGGGCTATTGGGAAGGTAGGAGCTGTGTAACACAATAGAGTGGTTGTGCCCTGGGTTTGGCTTAAGCTGCCCTTGCAGGAAGAGGGACATCAGTCTCCTGTTCCGGTCACTGAACACACCGTGCCATGGCCTTGCTTGTGCCTTTGCCTCGATGCGTTGTTCTTTAGGCAGCTACCTGGATCAAGGGACAAACAAGAAGATGAAGGGCGAATGGAGAAGCGAAGTTGAGTAATGCCACAGCAGGGAGCGGAAGAGCTGCGGAAGAAAACGGGGAGTCCACGCCGCAGCTCCCTGGGGAGGACTGGAACGCCGCGGGGCGGCGCTGCTCGCGAGCGGGAGGCTGCTCGCGCCGGCCGTTGGGAGGCGCCCTTCCTGCGCGGGCTGCGGGGCGCTGCGCGGCGGGCGTTGTCCCGCCTACGTGACCTGGGGTACGGCCCGCGCCCAGCGGCGGGGCTGCCCGTATATAATGCGGAGCGCAGGGCTCGGCAGTATTGAGCCTTTCGGCAGCGCTGTTGCGCTTTCTCTACCTGCCGGGTAACGGAGGCGTCGTGCCTTCTTCCTCGCGTACCGCAAGCGGGGGGTCCCGGCCCGGGGCGCCCTAACGGAGAACCGTTTGTTACAGGTCCGCGGCCGCCGCGATCATGAAAACGAGCTTCTTCCACATAATCAAAAACAAAACAGAAGTAAGTTTGTCATAGACGTTGGTTTTGAGATAACCCTCTTGGCTGGGGGGATGCAGCTGGATCCAGTAGGCACACAGGTGTTGGCATTTAATGGTTAGCGGTTTACAGAGGAGCTGGGGATAGCAGGGGAGGTACACGGGTTGAGAGAGTCATGCCCTGGAGTTGGGGTGTGCGAGCGGGAATGTGCAGCTCGCACACCTGAACAGCTAATCACATCTCACTGCTTGGAGCCCTCACTCCCCTTACTCACGGCTCTATAGCCAGGACACTAGTTCAACTTTTGTCTCTGTTTTTTGTGTCTTACAGCTCATTCCCCTGGTTGGAATAATATCCTTCGCAGCTATTGGAGCATTCTCTTTTTCCATCTATTCCTTATTCTGCAAATCTGATGTGATGTAAGCAAAAACTTTCTGCTTGGAGTTCACCCTAACCTCCTTTTGTTCAACAGAGGTGTTTGCACCAAAAAAGTGCCATATGGATGTTCCAGACTCCTAGTAACAATTAAGATACTGCAGATTGTAAATACTGAAGAAATTCATTAATTTGAAGTATATTCCGAATTATTTCATAACTTTCAATTTAATAATTTTATTCTTTGCTTTAGTTGTAATAGCTTTTAAATGTGTTTACAAAGAATTTCCACTAATCAGATAGGAGGATGGCATGCAGATATGTTGCAACCAGGTTGTTGGCTTGTATATGAAGAACATTTGACAATACAAACTTAGAATAACTTATATTTTAATGACTTGGCTAATAATTGGAGCTAACGCCTATACGCTAAGCTTTTGGGAACTTTTATATTCAAAGTGATAGGAATAGGTATTTTGCCTGCCAGGGTAAGGATCCCCTTTGTCTTTTGTGTCCTTGTTCAGTTTTGATTTTTCAGCTTGCTTCCCTTTTAGTATAATACCTACTTCAATAATGTTGGCTTGTTTGGTGATTTGGAAGCCGCAAATAAAGCAAGACATTCTTTATATTAAAATAAAAATGCCCAAACCTGTAAACTTGTGTTTCAGAGAACTACTTACTTAGAGTTCTACTGACAATAGACAGCTCTTATAAGAAACTTATATGCAAGATTGCACCCTAAAACATAATACCTGTTTTGCTTTATTTTCTCTTAAAGCATTAACAAGAGTAGCAATCCAGAACCATGGGAAACTGTTGATGCTACCAAGCCTCAGAAGGTAATTTCTACAAATAATATAGTCAATGCAAATAACATGCATTTTCAACATGATGAATATTTTTTAAATGTGGAAAATCTAGCAAAATATAATAATATATAAAATGTAAAAAGTATAAATTAAAAACCCTGAAGAACAATACAAATGCTAAGCTGATGTGTGTCTATTTAAAAGTAGCACTAACTGCTTAATTTGTTATTTCGCATAAATTATCTTCCCTGTGTTACTTAATAAAGGGGATTCAGCTGTTACATTGTAGGTCTGATCATGAATTTATGGTGTACTTCTGGTTCGTATCCTGCACCCACTCCCTGGAATATCCATCTACTCAATTCCATTGATAACAATGGAAATCCAGAATATAGAGGAAATGCTCAGTAATGCCTTGTTACTGAATTACACAATTGCCTAAGAATGTTGTGAGTACTGCAGCCTGAAGGAAAAAATCTTATTTTAGAAGAACATCTGGGAAAAAGAAAAATAGAACTGTTTAAATTATTAGTTATTTAATATCCAAGCGATTTTGTTCAACAGATTATTAAACAGGTCATTAGGTGCCATTTTTGTTTGCTTCTGAAGTGAAAATGTAAAGCTACTAGAAATCCTTCATGGATAAGTTGATGCATGATATGAAGGGATTTTGCTAATTTCTTTGATATTTTCCTGTTAATTTCTTGCAGCTATTAACAATTCGTCAGAAATGGAAACCTATAGAAGAGCTGGAAAATGTCAAAAAGCTTACGAAGTAACAAGTTTCTGTTGCCTCAAAAAGGTACCCTATGAATCTAGTGGAACCACTTCTGCACAAACTTGACTACTGAAATCAGTGTGCGGAAGTGCTTCTGCTACATTTTTAGGGTCTCCCTACATTTTTTTGGAATCTGGATGAGGAGTTCCATATTGCTTTAGAAGCTGGCATGCAACATACAGTCCAAAAATCGGTCTCAAATAATTGGTTTTCTGTGTGCATTTGATGTCAAATGTTGACTATTCAGATGTTAATTATAGATGGAAAAGCCTTCACACTTTGTGTGGAATATTGGTTTTCTCAAAAACATTAATGTTGTATATAGTTTTAATAAAATATATTTTAAAATTGCATCTTTACAACATTCCATGAAAATTTGATAAATGGAGATTACCCAAAAGCCCTTCTAAATTGGGATTCCTGATCTGCTCCCACTCTACGCTGTATTTCAATGCTCTATACTGACCAAATAGTCATCATAGCCTGAGGATGTCTTTGTATGGCAACATATGTGGTTATAAAGTATATTAGCATTTGTTTTTTGTGTTAGATGTGATGACTGTTTAAGTCAAAACTGATGATCGACTGCTAATATTAAAACTTATACATACACTCACTTTAATTCATGGAGGAGTCCACTAGGTTATTTTAGGGTGTATTTGAGATTAGAGGATTAGAACATCAGAATTAAGCATGGGTAAAAGGGAATTGGAAATGAGATCATTTCTGTTGTATTTAAATACTGTTCATGTTTCAATTTAGAAAAAGTTACTGAAGTTTGGAACAGTCCATTATCCAGAACTAATTACATAATGTTAATTCTTTTTGTGCAAGGTGGTTCATGTGGAAGCTTAAATGAACTGTGCCATTAACAATACTTTTAAGCATTTCTAGATATAGGCTACTGGGGACATCTGCTTTAACAAAGAGAAAATAACAGATTTAAGTTCGGAATGGCTCTATGAAGAGCCAGTTCTGCTTTAAGCCTCTCCGTGTTTTCTTAAGGGTTGGCCAGGGTAGGAACGTCATGGAGCAGACCCCCAGTACATTAATGAGGCAATACATATATCCAATGGCAACAGTCCTTTTGTGGATATTTTCTGTACGTGTCCCCTTCCAAGCAGTTTCATAATATATTAAGAGTTTCTTTAACAACAGGTGGTCAGAATGCATATTCCTTTCTGTAAGGAAGAAAGCAAAAGTGAAACAACTGCTAACTGGAAAAAGTCCCTGTAAGTGAGTAATAGGGAAGTGTTTTAGGTTACTCTGGTGCAGCATAGACAGCTTAGGTTAGCAAAGCTGTCTCCTGAATTTTAAGGTAGTTTGGCTTCAGGAGCTTTAAGTTTAGTTAAGATTTACTGATGCTGAGGAATAAAAAAAAAATGTTATCCCATACTTGTGTGCAGAAGCAGCGTAAGTATTTATCAAGTAAGGATGACTCAGCAGTGTCTATGTTTTAGAGTAAGAGGAACTACACGACTTCAGAATACATTCATAGCTTTCGTTTTAAGGAATGACGTTACAAGATAATTGGATAGCATATAACCACAGAAATCCAGTGCTCAGAAGAATACGAGTTCAAGTATTTTAATAGAAATATTTTTAAATATTTTCTGTAAGTTATTCTGTATTTCTGTTGGATTGTATAAAAAAAAAGTGCTGTGTTCTGAATTGATTCATGAATTAAAATAGTTTGTTCTTCAGTAAATTACTTGTATGGTCTGTAAGTACTGTGACCAAGTATCTGTCAGCATTAGGGAAGTAAGTGTGTTAGGTTTTGATTTTTTTTTTTTTTTACTTAAGTACTTTTCAGTGGTGTTCTCCATTAGAGCATTAAGCAGCGTGATTGCTATGGGTCATGGGTGTTGCTTTCCTCATCTGTCCTGTTAAGGTAGTAGAATGTTTTGTGTTGCTAGTTGCTTTCTTTGTTAGCATAGATTTGTGGGGAGGGTTTTCACATAATGTGAGAAATCAAAACATTTTCATGCTCTTTGAAAGGATCATAAAATGCTGAAAAAATGAATTGTTCTTGGGACAATTTTGTGTGTTCTCAAACTCCTACAAATAGTCTTGCTCCTGCATAGATGAGTGTTTTTTAAGTAGAACAAGCTAAGAACAATTACTGTATCTCCTCCCTCAACTACTCAACATAAATCTATAAAGCAATATACAAATTATTTCCTTGTTCTACTACCATCAGTTAAGACATTAAAGACTTAATTGGCTGAATTTTATGAGCTTTTATGAGAACAATAAGACTTCCATGGCATGAGTTACTCAAACCCATGGCTTTTTATTCCATGGACAATTTAGAGGCCACTGAAATTGACAACTTTTTTACTTCTCTCTATTCTGTCTCTTGCTCCATTTTGTTCTTCATTTTGTTTTGGTTTTTAAACAGTCACTATCTTTGCTCACCCTCTTTAGTACTTTTCCATGGAACTATACAACTTCCAACTTTATATTAATTACAAAGTTGAAGTGCTCACTGGCTTGTTACATTTTTCAAATACAGATTAGAAGCTATTAAAAGTGTTTGTTCAGTGATTCTAATCACCATTAGAAATGTATCATTAGAATCTGGGGTCATGCTTTTCAAAAGCCACCTGCATTAAAGCAGTATACTTGTAAATAGCTTTCTGGAAGAATAGACGGTTGCTTTCTGCAGTATACATGTAATTATTAATAAATTACTATTTTATTTTTTTTTATTACAATAGTACTTAAAGGCCTGAACCACAGAACTTGTGTTGTCACAGCCAAGAGCTGTGCTGTTTCCCATTTGGTTTTCTTTACATACACTAGCCCTGGTGTCAGCATTTCTCTGCCTGATGTCCCCTACCCACTGCATTTTGCTGCTGCAAGTTGCTATTAGTATAGTACTCAACTGGCTAGCTATTTCATTGGGGCATGTGGTTTCTGTTGAAAATAGTAACTTACAGAGGGGCCTGATGCAGTCATTGAAGGAAATTTTGCATCCTGTGGTTGTCATCTGTCTCAGTGCAGAGAGTTGTTGTCTTAGGACTAGCTGTAGAAAACAAACACAAGTAATGGGAATGATTCATTGCATCTGACCAATATTTGGTGTTGGACATCTCCCAAAAAAGCTTTCAGATTAAACAAACATGGCCATGCTATTCAACACAGTTTTAGTTCTCTGTCCATAGTCCTTGCTGTACAACACATCCCTGCCATACAGGGAGCACACAAGGTAATGAGATCACTTAAAGCTGTAACTAAAATGGAAATAGAAAGGTGTTAGCAATGAAGTGGACTCTGGGCACTGCAGTTGGACTGACCTTCAGGTCCTGATGTGAATAGAGAGGGGGCAAGGCATTTGCTGAAAGCTATTTCCAATAGTAAAACATCCACTACTGCTAACTGCACCATGCAAAGGACATCCACAGTGAGTGGACACCCAGTCCACACAGCTGGTCTCCTATGGGCCTCACCCTGATTGAAGATCACACACCTTTACCACACACTTTATGGAGGCTTTACTAAACCTATGTATGCTGTATGTTGACTTAATGACTGAAGTATTTGGGTGTAATTAGCTTTTACTTTTAGATAACCTTGTTACCTGGGTGTTCTGCCCAGAACTGCCCTGCAAGGGTCCCTAGGGCCCCTCATGCAACACGGGCCCACTTGGGCCTGTGGCTATTGAGCTATGATGAGTGAAACGTGAGTGACGAGTGGCCCGGTGCCCTCACCGCGGCTGTGAGGGAGCGCGAGGCGGCCGGGCCGCCGCGGGGCAGGAGAGGGCTTCCTTTGGCGCCAAGTTTCCATTTCCCCCCGGGCCGCCACAGAGGAGGGCGGTGAAGCGGTTCCTTCAAGTCCCGGCAGCCGAGAGGGGCGAGCCAGACCCGCAGGCATTGCTGTCGGGTCACCCGTGGGATCCACCTGAAGCCTGAGCCTGCAGCGGGGAGAAGGGCTCTCGCCAAAACATCAGGTACAAGCAAAGCACGCCTCCCACTCCGGGTTTTGTGTTAATGTCCTGTTTCCAGGTGTGTGGTTGAGGGAGTTGAGCTCCCTTTCTGTGGTGGTGTGCTGCCTAGATACTCAGCACTGTGCCAGGTGAGGATTTGTCTGTGTGGCAAATGAGGGCGTTGTAAGGAAACTGTAACTCAGGTGTTAGGGGATGGCACAGCTTTAGTTGTTGTGGAGCTGTATTGCAAAGGTGAGTCCTAGAAATACTTTGAATGTCAGGATATAGGCCATGTATTGGCTGATGTTGCTAGTCTAGAACATTAATTTTGAAAAACCCTCATCAGTTGGTAATGGGAGTGTGCACAGGAGGTTTGGTTTGGTTTTGGTTTTCTCTGCCTCTTAAGACTTGAAAGGCTTGTCCCAGTGCATTGTATGGGTGCTGTGGGCTGTGGTGCATCTTACATGTGTGGTGCTGTGCCTTGGAGGTGGGCTGGTGGGTGTGCAGCCCTCCTGGTGATAGCACCATTCAGCTGTTCTTGGCCAAGGTCTGACCATGGATAACACGGCATTGTGCACAAATATGAACTTCATGATGCAACGCTTCTCAGATGAAGCTAGTCATCTTTGTGACCTTGTTTTTGTAAGGTTTAAGAAGTGTTTATGCATGTCTGTTAAACTTCAGATAAATGTGCTTCCAGTTTTACCAGCTGTCAAGCAGCAGAAAAATCACACTCTTCAACTTGAAACATCTGATCTGGACTATACTACACTCTGGTATTACTTGTTTTCCACCTCTCTCACCCTTCTCCCTGTTTTCTACTGACACTCCTTCCTTCTTTCATTTGCTGACACATCTTTTTTTGCCAAGTATCTCTGTCTTGCCCACTTAAACTAATACATCAGCAAACCTTAAAATTTTCTTGACCTAATTTATTTCTACTCTTATTTATTAGCACACCTGCACTGTCTTCTAGAAAATTACATATGTAAAGTGAGTAGATCAGAATAAAGTTAGGCTGGTGGTTTAAATTCAGAGTTAAGCAAAGAAGGTCCTGCTTGTAATGTTTCCTTCCTTCTCTCTCTCCTGTTTTGCTTTGCTTTTTTGTATGCTGATAATATTGTAATAAATGCACCATAGTCCTGTCTTTTATTGAAAGAGGAGCCTTACTAATAACAGTATGGTTGTGTAGTAAGGCTGTGAACTCTTCAAGCAGAAGTCTGTAGTTTTTCAGTATATTCATAAATAACAGTAAATATTTAAGAATTGTCTTTCAATTTTGACAAAAATAGAAATTCAGGTCATCTAGATAAGCATGCATTGGCTTTCAGTAGACTCGCATAAAAACATTTGCAGTTTTTCTTAAGAATTGTTAACAGGGTCCATTCCACTGAAAGCTATTGCTTAATTTATACTACTGCAGAAAAATAAAGGTCATGTCAATGATAATAATATTAGGGGATACTGTTCTTTACCCACTTCTTTCAAAATACATCATGTTTTCCATAAGGGCTGTTCTGTTACTTAAAGTTGATTCATCTGGTTGTTTCCTTACAAGAAAATGGCAAAATAACTTGTTCGTGTTTTGTAACTTCAAGCTTGAAGTGGCCTGGCAGTTTTTAATCCTAAACACTGAAGATCTCTGGGATTCCTGTAGCCTTGCAGACCATGCTAGTGGCTGTGAAACAGTTTTTTCGTCTGTGTATTTTATTTTTCTTTTTGAGTGAATTGGAAAATGTAATTTCTTTAAGCTCAGACTCAGCCCTCACTTAGCTGGACTTGCTGACCTCACTGACCCCAAGTGTTGCTGACGCAGGGGCAGGAGATGATAGCTCTTAAGCTTTATCACAGCAATTGATTTTAAAAGCAGAATTCTTTGCTGCAGTGAGTGGGAATTCTGCACAGACACTGTTGTTACCAGATGGTGTCAAATTGAGGATCTAAGGACTCGGGTGGAAAAGTCCGTGAGATACAGTGTCGAAAACAGACTCTTGGGACCAGGCAGGGTTCTGTAGCAATCCAGTCAGCATTGCCTAAAGGAACATACATTAGATGATGTATTCGCAAAGCAGAGGTGCCTGCCATCCCCCTTCATGGTTACAGCTGTTCTCTAGAACACTGGTTCAAGACACCTATCTCATGCCAGTCTGTTCTGGTAGACCAGATGTGCACTGCTAGTGACTTGTGGGCTCATTGGCCTTTTGCACAGAGCTGTGTTTGATCTTCACAAAGGACTGATGCGCGTTGTGAGGTGTAAGAGGGATGCACACCTCAGCCCTGATAGATAGTTACATGGATTGTTAACAGCACAATGTCTGTGAAAAGCTAGGCTGCTTTGTGTTGCTGCTTCAGCCTTGTAGAATATGTGGATTTTTAATTGCCTAATTTATGTGGAGTGAACATGATGCATTAACTGATGCAGTTTATTTCAACAGTGTTACGTTGTATGATATATAGAGGGCAAATGGGAGTACCTATGGATGCAAACATATGAGTTGAGAGGTCAGAAAGCCACACAAGTTTAAAAAACTTCTTACGTGTAAATAAATGTGTTTAAGCTTTAAACTTCAGCAAAACTTTTTCACCCTTGATTTCCTGTTGTGTGTCATTTCTTTAATTGAAATGGAATTGCACTAGGCAGGTAACTAATTAGCACCATCCTTTATGAGATTTCATGCTGCTGAACAAACAAGGAAGTGAATGCAGAAAATCCAGATTAGTTGTAGTTCCTGGTAGTAACAGAAATATCAGTTTGCCAAAGAAAAGTGGAGTCATCTACT